ATGTTTAGGGTTGTCACGATACTAAACTTTTTCAACTCGATATCGATACTAAGGAAAATATTCGATACTCGATACCATTTTCGATACCACAAGGATAAAAACAAAGACTCCAAAATTCTACAGAAATATTTTCATTAATAAATNGTGTAGCTCAGACCACGCTTCAATATTAAGCATAAATCAAAAATGTCTGTGTCAAGCTCACTGCAACACACTGCTGTAAGAGTATAACCAGGAAGCGCGGTAGGAGGGCAAAATAGGTTTAGCACCACCGCAGCACGGGAGGAGAATTACGCCCAGGAGCAAATGGATAAAAATAGACCGGAAGGAAAAAAAAACATGAATCGATTCTCTTCGGCTGTTGGATCGATGCATCGATAAAAAACAATTATTATTTACACCCCTGTAGATGAGCATACCCATTGTCAATACCCGTTTATCCCTTTAGTTTTGTACAAAAAACTATTTAATGGCTTACATGTAGGGTTGTCACGATACTAAACTTTTTAACTCGATACCGATACTAAGGAAAATATTCGATACTCCATACCATTTTCGATAACACAAGGATAAAAACAAACACTACAAAATTCTACAGAAATATTTTCATTAATAAATAAAAATACAATAAATAAATACAATAAAGGTTGTATGCTGTGCACAATATTAAGCAAGCTTGATAAAAAACGTGTAAAATTAAAATTAAGTGTTCCTTCCTTAGCTATGCTTTGCCCACATAACAATGACACTAGCCAAACCGGTTAAGAAACAAAAATAATTCTCAGCAGCTGCACCTCTTACAAAAAAAAAAAAGTCTGAAACTGAAAAGTGCGTAGAATTATTCAATCACACAGTGTTCAGAAAGTGCATTTTCCTCTATTCTACACTTTAGATGAATGACTGCTTAGGTGCCACTGGTGGTGGCACTGTATTGATACTTTTAAAAACGAGTATTGTATCCGGATACAACGTTAGTATCGATACTTTTTTGAGTATCGATACTTTTGACAACCCTGCTTACGTTTAGTTTTTTTTTTTTAAGCGTACGCCGATCTTACCTTAAATTATTTTTTTTTACATGACTAAAGGGATACACGAAGTAGTCAAGCTAGTTTAAAGTCTATTTTTCATACAAAACCAAAAGGGATAAACGCAAATCTGAATTCTTGATAAACGGGTATTGACTATAGGTATGCTGGTCTGATGGCGTATGCTCATCTGACAGAGCACCGGGTCTTATTCTGCAAGGACACTGGCCCCCGTTGGCCCCTGTCTAGAACCGCCCATGGCTGTCATATTTGTAGTTTTATAAATTAATAACACACTATACCTGAAGCTTGTAAACATATGTTTGTCCAACAGAAGGACAATGAATGTTTTAGGAAAACCACATCAGTTACTGTTATTGTCCAATGGGTCCCTAAATGAATGATTCTCTTGTTAAAAGTGAAACTAAATTCTGATTGGTTGGACAGTATCCTCTGACCTCACCAGTAGTGAGCTTATTCTGATCTCAAAGCCAATCAAACAGGCTTCGATAAGCCTTTAGAGATCTGGCAGATTCAAATCTTTTCTCTTCAGATCGAACATAAATAAAACATTTGTCAAATCTAAACTCTTAACCTAAAGAGCTGTGTCGAATGCAGCAAAATCCAAACTGGTTCTTCAGCCACATATTAAAATGCTTCTGAGCTTCAGCTAAAAAGCAATTAAAAGAGTTGCAGTTGTAATCTCTGCTTGTCGCCATGGTGACTAGGCAGGTTCAAATCACCGGCGTGACGTCATGCAGGCTGTCAGCTGCAGGGAATTTTTGGTGTCTAACTTTGGAACATAAAGTATCCAAAAGAGTCATTGTCCGCGAACATCTTCCCTTATAATGGAGAAGAACACCTGAAATACCTGCTTCCTCCTGACCTTTATCCTACTGAGTGACAGTGTTGATAAAGCGATAATACATTTACTGCTGCTAAAATCCCACAAACAGACACTAACAATCAAAAATTAGCAATAAGAAATAAACAGAATTAATGCATATTTTGATTAATGGTGTTTGTGTCTCTGCTATAGTCCTGCACATCACGCTCAGTCAGCTTCAGTGCTTTTATCAGCAGGCTATAAAATCATAAATCTAATCATAAAACTAGTGATTAGTTGGTTCCGTCACAAGAAACTTGGTTAAAACGCATTAAACAGCGGAAAATAAGTAAAATTTTAAATGTGTTGCTTTGGTTTTAAGGAAAAGATAAAAAATAAATAAATAAACAGTGAGTTTTGTCGTTTTTTTAGACAAGTGTAGGAAAAACGCTGATAACTAACTGGCCTCTCTGGCTACAGATTTTCACAGGGGAACAGATTGTGGCACAACACCGGAAAGCCCCGCGTCCACTCTGACGCAGCAGATGATACACGTCATTACGGCTACGCTAAGTACTTTTTGATCAATTGTTCGATTGAAGAATCAATTCGCAGGGTTTAATTCTCTCCGTCTAAGCGGAAGGTTCGTGTTCCAGGGCCGAGCGCGACTCTCCGGTATCGGGACCGCGCACCTCGGGCCTTTGCTTAGAACCGGACCCACCGGAACACAGAAACGAGTCAAAACACTGGCTGACATCCTTACTCACCGAAGAAAGTCCAGGCCGGCTCCAGAACCGTCCTTGTTCCTTAAAAATTAAGCGGTGTTTATTTTTGTTTACTACCTCACCTTCTCACTGCCGCTCTGCTCTCCACTTCCGCTGCGCTCAGGTCAGCTGATCGCAACCAACCAATCAGAGAGCAGAGGGTCAGGGCGGGGTCAAATAGGTACCGTAATCTATAAAATAGTAACACAACATATATTTTAAATAGTTACATGTTTTGGGGGGTAAATATGGAATAATTGTGTATTTGAAGAAAATAAACAAATACGAATGATTAGTGAATAACAGAGGGCCACAGGTTTAGCATTTAAATTAAGGGAGAAGACAGCTGATAGAGAGCGCAGAGGGTTTGTTATTACGGTAAAAACAAAAATCCGGAACTAAAAAGTGAAACTGATCAATTTAGTAAAAAGAAATACGGTGCACTAATCAATTGAAATATTTTAATGTAAAATCGGTGGAGGGGTTTTAGGTCAAAATAACATTGAAATTGGAGAAGAAATAAAACATTAATGGAAGAAAGAAATGAAAGTTAACCTGCAAATATGAGGGGAAAGCAAAACTTTGAACTGAAGAAAAGGTTTCATTTTCTTTACTCTATCCATATAAGACTCCTAGTTATACTCAGTTGAAGTGGAAAGATACTGGACTGCAAATGTCATTTCTGACTAATTAAAATATTAAGTAATTTTGAGGATTATAATCCCTGATGGTTCCATGAAGTTCTCACCATAAAATCTGCTGAAGATCAGCAAACATGTCAGCCATTGGAGTTATATATTATTTTAATCGAAAGATAATGCTTTTCCATTCATTTCCTTTTTAATAAAACAGTTTCTCCCACATTTGCTTAAAATCAACCTAAAACAGGAGAAAGAGGCCAGCCTTCACATAAATCAAAGGGATGTAGGCCTTTATGATTTTAACTCTTTGAGATCCATCAAAATCTATGATGGATCGTTGGGTCATAACGGCCTAATCTTCCACACTGATGGTGTCCTGAATCCTTATATTCTAGAGTTCAAGTGTTTAGCTGAAAGAAAGGGATTTCTGAATGTTTATAAAATAGCACACTGGTTAGTGTAAACCTTTAAAGTCTAATGCAGGCTGCTTAGACAGCTTTCTTTGTAAACAGTTCTAAGAATCACTCAAGGAGAACCCTACACCATCTAGGGCCTGTAAGTCCAGGCACAGGGTATTTAACCGGAATGATGTTGGCTCAGTTAATCCATCATGAAATGAGTCTTTTTACTCCTGATTATTATTGATCTGAGAACAGCTTCAGTAGATGGTTTAATACGAGGCCCTGTATTTAATAGAAAACAAATAGTTTACCTTAAACTGTAATCAGTTAGAATGATGTTCCTTATGTTACTAGTTTATTTTTATTCTTTTTTATCAATGTCAATTTGTTCTTAATCTCTCAGACTGAATTTTGACAGATTATAATCTTTATGGAAATCAATGCTACAGACTTGTAGTAAAAGGAAACCAGGTTCTGGTTGTGGTCAGAGCTCTGCAGCATTCTCCCTCGCTCGCTCCTTCCATGTTCAGGATGCATCATGGGCAGGAGCTCTTCTAGTTGGTCACCCGTTACCGTGGTAACAGAGGCCAGAGCCCACTTGGTCATGCATCTTCATCCTGATTGGGCAGCTGATTCCAGCTCCACAGCACCCTGTGCTCAGGGTCAGCTGCTCTGCAGGGTGAAGCTGTTTATAAACACCTGCTCAGTTTCCTGTTCTGGTTTCTGCTACTCAGATTCTTCCTTAAAGAGCCTACTTCATAAATCACTTCATGCTGATCCATAATTTTTTTAAACAAAGGTTCAGATAATTGCAGTTCTTAACCATTATCCCTCTTTTTTAGTTTATGAGGAATTTTGATGGGAAAAGCAATGCATTCATGGATTTATCTGCTGTGTTTGTGTTTAATTAGCACTCGGACTCTGCAGGAAAAGTTCACTCAGTTTATATTTAACAAAAAGAAAACAAAACCAGCATCTGATGAGTAACAACAGCTTATAGTGGCAGCTGGAGGCGCTGAACCCGAGGACACCACCGTCCACGTCGGCAGCGGATCCAAAGAGATGAAGGATTCCCGGAGAATAAAAGTGCTTTTTTAAATAACCTTTCTACTTCCTAGGAGCCTTTATTGTCCACTTTCACTCTGTCCAACAGCACCCCCTGCAGGCCTAATGGCAAGTCTGCAGGAAGGATGAGCAAAGCATCATCCATCCTGAAACTTTTTTTTTTCCAAGCATCCAAACAGAAAATCCTCAAGAAGAAAATTGAGAATATTTGGTGGGAATCTGGAAGCAACACCGTCTTCACATTTCAGACACAAAACACATGAACAACGCCAAATCAAATCAAAGTTCTCATTTATTTTACTGTCACTGAATTATTTCCCTCATATGGTTCTTTAGTGGCTTTAAAAAAATAAAATCAGATCACAGGTTTGATTCCAGTTCAGCTTAAACAAGTTTTTAAAGAGTTTTGTTCATATCTGATGTCTCAGATTTTACAAACCGATTGCAGAGCAGACTGTAAAGTCCGCCCATCGTCGGTTTCAGTCATTTTGTACCGGATAAAAGACAATAAAGAAAAAAAAAACGTTCTAAAGTGCAGAAACGAGAACCTTTCCGACAGAAAAGAGGAGCAGGGCTGAAATACAGGCATCTTCAGCGGGACGCATGGAGGCTGTATGGAGTCTCAAGACGACCAAAAAACTAGCCGTGGACCAGGTATGGCGTCCAACGTCTGCCCAGAAACTAGGTGCTTATGCTGTACTGGAACTCAGCAAATGTCACACAGACTCAGGCTGACAAAATCGTAAATATTAAGGCTTCTAACTCCAAGAAACACTGTCAGACTCAGGACGACCAAAACCTGGATGTATGGAGGTCAAACAAGGACTAAACTTGGTGTATAGAATGTTCAGAGACTCAGGACAGCAGACTTCCATGTTTGGAAGGACAAGATGGGTTCAGGACCGCCCTGAAGAACGCATCTAAGGTCATATGGAGGCTTAGACCATGTGTGAGCCTGAAACAGCCAGAATTATGAATCATAGAGAGGCTGCACGTCCCCTGAAGGGGTCTAAAACATCTCTAGAGCCAGATTTAGGTGTTTACATGTTAAAGCTTATTAATGGTTTGGATTAGTGCTTCCAGTGGTCGCTGGGCAGGTCCTGATGCCCAGCAAACAGGTTCACTAACTTCGTTACCACGTTTCTGCACGACCCCCAAAACTCCTCCGAATGTGTGCTTTTTTTCCCCCCCAGTTTAAACAAAAATCTGAAATCTGAGTTGAAGCTCCTTTGTTCCGTTTCAAAGCGTTAGAAAGATTGTCTCGATTCGGGCTGGTGGTCGTTCTCAGGGCGACGCCTGACTGGAAAAGGGGTCAGGAAGTGACCTCCTGCGTCCTGACGCCGAGGAGCAGAGAGTGCATCACAGGCGAGAGCGACGGTAAAAAGTTGGATATGTTGTGAGATTGTCAGAGTTGTTGGTTTGGTAGAAAAATAGAAGGAGGGAATATAAAAAGAGCAGGAATGAGAAGAGCTGCAGGAGGTCGATGAGACATTTACAATGATTCTCTATATAGCTTATAAATACGTATCTACACAGTATGTGGTACAAAAATACTATAGAGCATTCTGTGGGCACTGCAGTTTCTGGGGGGTTTCAAAATAAAAGCACATGGAGTTGTGGCACTGCTCAGGCACAAGTTGTGATGATGATGAGGAGCGGTTCTTCCTCCTCGTGTGAGACGGCGACGGAGAAGAGCCGCCAGACGATTTGGTTTGAATCCCATCAGGATGCGAGCGCCCCCCCGTACGGAGGCTGGAGAGGGACAAAAAGAAAGGTTCTGCTGGGTCAGTGCGGAGCTGACGGGGCGGCCTCCCATCCTGACGGGATGCCATCCCGCCCTCTGAGTGGGCGGGGCCTGTGGCCGCTGCTTGTATTTGGCATCAGAGGAGTCCAACTGATCGGCGCCGTTTCTCTCCGGCTTTAAGGCAACTTTTGCTCTGTGGCGAGTTTAATAAAAGCTTCTGTTAAAAATGTACAAATTCTATGGCATCATCATCATCATCAGTATAGAAAATATATAAATATGATTTCTCTGTTCTGTACAAAAGTTCGGCAGCTCGCCTTCCTCCGCTTCCCTTTTATCGCCTCGCTCCATCGCTGCTTCAGTCTCTTCCCGTTTTTGTTTTCTTTTGTTTTTATGTTTTTTTTTTTTTTACCTCAGATATAAACAATTGTTATTTACAGTGAGGGAGGGCGGAGCTTTGCTCACGAGGAGTCCGTGCACGGGGAGGGCGGCGGCGGGTACAGGTGGTGGGAGTAGCTGCGCTCCGTGTAAGGAGACGGCGGGCAGCTCTCACAGTTCTCCTCCGCCGACAGGTACTGGCTGCGGGGCGTCGGCGGCGGCGGGAAAGGCTCCGAGTCGTAGTTGAGGTCGCTGGTGTAGCCCTTGGCGGCGGCCGCGGACTTGAGCGGCCGGCGCCCCGGCGTGTAGTCGCTGTCGCAGACGTCGGTGCTGCAGGGCGTGGTGGGCGGGGCGAAGTGGCGGTAGGTGTAGGGCCGGTAGCTGAAGAGGGAAAACATGGATTAATATTCCAGAGAATTCCAGGGGAAGGTTCCCGATCTGCAGGAACCAACACATTTCAGTCCCCAGAACCCAAATGGTCAGACAGTTCTGGTTCCAGACCGGAGCTGTACCTGTAGGAGCGGTGAGTGGAGGGGCTGTTGGAGGAGTAACCAAACTCCAGGGTGTACTGGGAGCGCACGGTGGCCGGGGACGGAGGCGGGTTCAGGATCTGGAAGCAGAGAGTCATCAGAACAACAGAACAGAACCCGGCTGGGACCGGAACGGACCGGACCGAGTTCTGACTCTCACCGGGGGGAAGTAGGTGCCTTTAGTGCTGGACGAGCTGCTGGATGAGGCTCCGGTGACGTGAGCGCGGTCGTACAGCGGGCCGCTGCTGCCGCCCATGATGCTCAGAGAACCAATCACAGATTTCCCTCTGGACATACCTGAAGATCGGGTCAGAACCGGAAAGTTAAGCCTGATTTCATCTGATCAACAGTAATTCAACACAGAGACTGACTGGAACATTTCACACATTCAGAACCAGCTCGGATCCGACCTAACAAAAAAACCCTCTAGAACCGAGCTGCTGGGTTTGACCATGGCCGTTGCTCAATATGTGTACATGTGTACACATATTGTACATTCCCGATCAGGAAATTTGTTGCCCCAAAAAGGGCAACAAATCATAGTGTAAGCCTGGCTTTAGCGTCACTATATGGCCCATTTACTGATTTAGTTCGTAATTCAAAAAAAGTTCTAATGTTGAGAGAACCATAGCAACCAGCGGGGCTCTGAGGCTAACCACAGCCAGGGCTAACGTTAGCCCGTCTGCAGCAGCCCTCTCTCTGCATAGCTGTGTGTGAAGGACCGCTGGCTATGATGGAGGCTTTATGATTTGTTTGGCTGAATGTGTTCATTATTATTCCTGAACTAAATGAAAAAGTAGGAATGTATTATTATCTAGAGATTATTAGTAACAGTAGGTGAAACGCAGCTCTAGACGAGCTGAGCGTGTGGTGATGTCATCAGTACACTACTGTTCCAATTGACCCATATTTATGCTGCGTGTTCCCGTTCTCCCACAGTCCAGACTTTCTTGGGTTCCTCTCAAGAACATACTTAGCGAGGACACGAGTCCGTACTCACTTTCTTGTGAATTGAGGAACGGTCCATGTTTCGGCTCAGTGGTAAGCTCCGCCCACACACAAAATCCTAGAATTCCAGCCTGATTCTACTCAGTCACCCGTTTTATGTACAAACATTTGTCAGGTTTCTCCACTCTCTGGGTTCGGACACTCACTAGTATTCGCTGCGGTTCTGGAACCACTAATCTCGGTTCTGTCGTGTTCAGCTTTACTAATCTCCACGCTGGGAACTCTGACCCGGTCCGACTCACCTGGCAGCGAGCTGGACAGAGAGCTGGGATGCGGAACGTATCCGAGCGGCACCGACGACTGTCCGTGGACCACGAAGTCGTTGGTGACCGTCTCGCCGTCGTCCTTCATGTGAGGACAGAGCACCCGCTGGCAGACGAAGTAGATGGCGCCGACCACGAACAGCGCCATGACCACGGCCACGATGGAGCTGATGGTGCTGTTGGTTGGAGCCGGCGGCTCCTCTGTGGCGTCTGAAAACAAAGAGAGACCTGAGTAACGGTTCTGCAGACCGGGTCGGTTTAAGCCGCTTGCAAAGAGACTCACAGCAGCCAATCTCGTCGGAGTTGTCGCTGCAGTCCATGTTGTGGTCGCACTTCTTGTGTTTTCCGATGCACTGACCGTTGGAGCAGGAGAACTGCTCAGCAGGGCAGCGGACTGCGAACACAAGCGCGGCGCTCCATCAGTTCCACCCAAACCCAGTACCTTTCCAGCGCATGGGAACCACAGCGGGGAGATACTCACCTTCACATTTGTTCTCGTCGGAGCCGTCCTGGCAGTTGACCTCCCCGTTGCAGCGCAGGCTCAGCTCGATGCACTGCCGGCTGTCGCACTGGAACTCCAAGTCGGAGCAGACGGGGCAGTCCTTCTCGTCGCTGCCGTCCTCGCACTCGGGGTAACCGTCGCACCTCCAGGTGTTGGGGATGCAGTCCACCTCGCCGGACAGGCAGGCGAACTGCAAGGGCGAGCAGGTGGGCGGCTCTGAGGAAGACAGAAAACAGGACGGCCTGGTCAGACGTTTCCGCCGGCGACACCGCGGGTCTACAGGAACGCCTCAGCTTACCGCCACAGGTGAGCTCATCCGACAGCAGAACCAGGTGGACGGGGCAGGAGCAGCGCGTGGTTCCATCTCCCTTCACGATGCAGATGTGGGAGCAGCCGCCGTTGTCCTTCGTACACGGATGGTTCCCTGAAGGAGTCCGATAGAGACGGAAAGTTACGTTTCAGCTCAGATTCGCCTTAAAAAACCGGAATTCATGTGAAAAGCAGTTTATTCTAGAAAATGTAAAGCTAGGTAGATTAAGGCGAATCTGAGCTGAAACGTAACTTTCCGTCTCTATCGGACTCCTTCAGGGAACCATCCGTGTACGAAGGACAACGGCGGCTGCTCCCACATCTGCATCGTGAAGGGAGATGGAACCACGCGC